GATTATTTTATTCTCGGTTTGGGTTTGGACATTATAGTGTTTGGTTGGGTCGGTTAAGATCGGGTTCGCGTTGAATTGTCATCCCTACTTGACAGTGTGTAAAAGAAAATGATGTGAAGTGATAAAAATATGTGTGTTATGATATTCGATCGAAAGAATGGCGAAACTAAAAAGTGATATGATAAAGGTGTAGACTATTTTGATTGATTGTATTTTTTTAAAAAAGAGAGAGCAGCTTCAGGATGGGGAAGACCACCACGCAAAAATGGGTCACGCCTCAAATATTAAATGCCGACACGATGAAGCAAGCGTGAAGGAGGTAGTAACGCCCTCCTCACACTATCAGGACACGTTATGAAATGTCAATATACAATATCACGCTTTATGCTGTAGTAATTTTATTTTGGGGATATTCACTCCTATTTCAAGATAAAGATTATGTTATGCTTTCATTTTGAATGATTTCTTTTAAGAGAAGTGCTTAAATGTGAGTGAAAGATGATAAAATACAAAAATAAGAGTACTATTCTTTTTGTGACCCAAATAAGAGTTCGCATTGCCACTCTCGCTGCCATCGAAGCCCTACCATGGGTCGCCAAAGCGCCACCATGGGTCACCAGAACTCCACCATCATATTGTCACTATTTACACTATTATATTATCATCACAGTAACAAACTCTTAATTTAGAAGAGAAAAATAATATACTCATAGTTTGGTATTTTGATGGTAATTTATTCATACCTATGGGTATTATTTTTCATGATAGTCTCTTCTCTTTGCTAAAAAACTACATTATCTCTATTGTTCACCTTAAAAAATCACTTTCTCTGTAACAATTGTAATCATACAATTTCATTTTTTAAAAGTCTTCGTATAAAGTCAAACTTGAATCTTTTTTTACAAGTTAAATCACTCTCATGCTATTACATTTCAATTTTTTGAGAGTTATTGACTCGATTATAATATAATACGGAGTATTTGTTCATATTTTCTCAACTTAATAATGCACTTTGAGCCAATACCTCCATTGAACACAAACCTGGGTGAGACTCCCCATAAATATTGGGAAGTCAGATTCCTACAACTCAAGTCAATAGAGAAACTCCCAAATTGATTTTCTTATACAGAATTACGAACCACGATGATGGTACAAATTTTTAAAATAAAATTTATTCTCTCCGTTCTCGAGGATTTGTCTAGTTTCATTTTCAGGTTAATCTTAGCAAGTCGGTCAGGTCGGGTTTGGGTGCGGACGGGTTTGACCCATTTTTAGCGGATCATTTCGGGTTCGGTCAACTTTAGGTTCGGTCATCAAAACCTTTGTTTAAAATTCAGTGTTTTCAGGTCGGGTTTTGGGTCAAAAATAGGTCGGGTTATTTTTTGCCGAGTGTAAACAAATGCGAAGTACTCTAGAACAAATATAGTATATTTTTAAAAACTATAGTGGATTATTTTTAATATAAGAAGTGACATAAACATATTATTTTAAAATATTTTTGTTGAAATGACTACATTAAGTATCTTATCAATTTTTGTTGGTTCAGTACTTTTCAATTCGATAATCTAGAATTTTTCAAAAATTTTCAGGATCGATTTGGTTCTTCATCGCTCCAACTTTTTTGTGTTTTGGTTGGAGATATCTCAAACATTTTTCAGAAAACTGCTCTTGGGTACCCCATATTTTGAGAAACTAACTGCGAGATACCTCACATTTTCAAAATATACTCCGAGGTACCTTTTATTTTGAGAAACTAACTATCGGGTACCTCACATTCTTAAAATATACTCCGAAGTACCCTCTATTTTGAGAAATTAACTATCAGGTACCTCACATTTTTAAAATAAATTCCAGGATACCTCCAAATGTACATTAATTTTACGCCATTAATTTTAAGAAATAGGGGTTTGGAATTTTAATAGTAACCAAGATCTTTTTAATTTGAAGAAAAATTGAACTCAATACTTTGGAGGCGTAAAATTAATGTATATTTGGAGGTATCCTGAAATATACTCCCTCCGTCCGGAAATATTCTTCCCATTTTCCTTTTTGGTCCGTCCGGAAATAATCTTCTCATTTCTATTTTTAGTATGCTTTTTAAGACTAAATATCAATAATACCCTTCTATTTTATCACAAATCTACTTTTTTAATACTTTTTTAATAATAAAAAGAGATTTAAAAGTTTATAGTATGTGCATTTTTGAAAATTTTGCATTTATTTTACTATTCCTTAATAAGCGTGCCAAGTCAACACGGGAAGAACATTTCCGGACGGAGGGAGTATTTTAAAAATGTGAGGTACCCGATAGTTAGTTTCTCAAAATAGAGGGTACCTCGGAGTATATTTTAAAAATGTGAGGTACCCGATAGTTAGTTTTTCAAAATAGAAGGTACCTCGGAATATATTTTGAAAATATAAAGTACCCGACAATTAATTTATCAAAATATGGGGTACATAAGAGCAGTTTTCTGAACATTTTTGGTAAGAAGAAAATTCAGAGAAATGCTGCGGAAGATCCTAAAGATCCGCAGAGATGGGACCCGCCAGCTCGAATCTTCCGCACTTATATTAAAACCCTAAACCCGAGATAACCCGGAATCTTCTGAAACTCATCGGGTCAAGCCGCCCGCCCGTTTTTTTCCCAATCCTCCACCTTCTCATTTCATTCAAACCCGTCGTCTCTTCCCTCACTGGCCATCCTCAGGATTCCTCGTACAGCATATAGACTCGCACGGCGTACGGATATACAGAGAGCGAGGGAGGGGCGCCACAATGTGCGGGATTCTTGCGGTGTTCGGTTGCACGGACAACTCTCAGGCGAAGCGGTCCCGAATCGTCGAGCTCTCTAGAAGGTACATCGAAGCTTTGGATCTCATTTCATTTCATTTCAATGTCTGTGTGCGTTTATGCTTGAGTTCATCTGTGTATGAAACATTGATGTTTCGTATTGAGGTGATTTTTCATGGACTAGGCTATATTCATTTTAGCCAGTTTCTAATTTGAACGGTTCCTGTGGAAATGACTAATAATGGGAAGGTGCTCGGGTGTATTTTATTTGTCATTTGGCAAAGTCATGTTCTTTATTCCATTTAGCTTAATAATAATACTCCGTAGTCCGTACATTAGGAATGCCAAGATATGATTTTTGGATGACATGTTTAGTGAGAACATCTTTTGGCTAGAAATTGCATTTTTATAATACCCGAATGCGATGAACATTACTTTTAGCTCCTTAAAAGACACCATTCACCATTAGGTATTGCAAATACTATGTCATTTCTAGCCTCAAATTCATGGCAAGATTCTAACCGTGAAGGTTTATTGTTTTGGTAAATGATGGTGGATACGCATTTGAGATATGTGATCCGTCATTCTAAGTAAAAAAGTCTGAAAAGAAAAATGGAGATGCTTGGTAGCAGCCTAGTATGTACTACGTAGTATGTAGTAGAACAATTCGTCTTTGACTTATCTCGACGAAATCAAGTTTACCGAACATTTTTCTTCCATAACGTTTAGTAGAAGACAAATACGTAGTAACCCTTACCAAATGTGCCCAAAGTAAAGAATGTGCTTGGGTTTGGGGATAAAAGTAGTAGATTGTGTATCTAAATGAAGCTTGTTGTCATATTCTGGCAGAATGAAGATATGTTTTGGTATTTTGGTACATATGATTGTCATTTTTCATTTTCCATCATCTCGGATGGAGCCAAAAATTCTTTTTTTTGGCTTTGGGGTGTGGTGGAATAAATAAAAAAAAGTAGCAGTTAGTCAATCAATGCAACTTTCAGTGCTCATCTCTTTGGAAACCTCTCTACTTTCGAGTAGGGTAAGGTCTGCGTACACACACCCTCCCATACCTTACTCTTGTGGGATTCGATTGGGTTGTTGTTGTGGCTGTTGTAGGATTGTCATTTTATGTACACTTTTCATAGAAAAATGACATATCATTATTGAGATTGTGTGACATTGAAATATTCCTGACATTTGTGTTATACGATACTTGATAATTGTAGGTTACGCCACAGAGGACCTGATTGGAGTGGATTGCATTGTCATGGTGATTGTTATCTAGCACATCAACGACTAGCAGTAATTGATCCTGCCTCAGGTGATCAGCCACTGTACAATGAAGACAAAACGATCGTTGTCACGGTAAGTAAACATTCACTTGACTATATATGCAAGTATTTTTAGATGTTAAAGGAAGTGTTCTTAATCTTCTTCTATTTTAGCATTTCAATGCTGATTCCTTATCGTTGGTCGTTGGTACAACAACAATCCCAATATAATCTCACATGAAAGTAGAG